CAAAAGCGGAAACAAAATGGACACATTGTAGCAAGAATGGATACATTTTGACAGTTTTACGAGGTCTCTGGTTTCGGATCCATTGTTCTCACAGTGGGGGGCCGTCAACAGCTTGTCAGTAGGTTCAATGAGGCGTGCAAGGGCTCCCTGAGCTAGCTCCTGCAGGATGAATGCATGGCTGTGATTGGCTAAGACGCAGCCATAGGAATAAGCGGAGAGACAGGAACGCCCGGTCTACCCGTTCTAAGTATGGAGCGCCAAATAGCCATAGGAAGAGATAGGGGAATATGTTCATATATTTGAGCTTATTTCGCTCGGGGAAGAAAGAAGGAAAAGGGGGTTTCGGGAGACGTGTGGTGCTTGTGCAACGGTGAGGGGACTAAGGGTGGGTGTACTGCGGGTACCCTCGAGGTCATCGCCTCGGTTGTCCAAAGGAGAAGGGGAAAGGAGGTACCCCCCCTTTCCCGGTCCGTATCAGGATAATGAAAATATAGATATATTTTTGGGAGGAGGAGGAAATATACATGCAAGTGGAAGCCAGCGTTCCTCAGTTTTCTAAAGTTGTGGTGTGTTTAGGATTTATTGGCAATGGATGTGTAGGTGTCATCTATAGATTATTTCAAAACCCTGTGCCATATGGTATGCCTTAATTTCAAAAAAAGAGGTATGGAGACAATCTTGTCTGGATATCATATTTGGGGCCTCTTACATGGAAGCTAATAGATGGGCAAGGAATAATGTTTTTTTTAAAGTGAGGAGACACCACCACTCTGCGCATGACATACTATCCTGAATAAGCGCTGTGCAGGTGCTGTTGTGATGAAAACAGAATGTTACAAATTGCCGCTCTGCCAAGTCAAAATGTTTCCAGCTGCCACTTTCTACACTGCTCCTCTTTCTCCTGGATCCACTTTTAACACACGAAACCCTACTTCTGTGTGCAAAACGGACGCTTACGCATTCATAGAATTCATTGAAAATCATCCTTCACATTCATCTTAATTAATCAAAAGGAACACAGTGAATGGGCTGGCACATGCCTAATGAACATCTGGTACTTTCAGGAAATCTGTCTTCCATTGTTCCCTATGCTTTTGAATTGTACTGACATGGAACGATACATAAAAACCAAGCCCTGAGTGGGAAGACCATGAGGTTTGCTTTAGAAGATAACATGGGAAGGAGAAACTTCAAATTTTTTATATCCCATTTTCAAGTTTTGCTCCTTAACTACATGCCTCACAAAGGCTGTGTACATACTATATACATCTTTATTTATTTTTTAATAAACACTTTAAACATACCAAATTTTGTTGTTGTTTAGTCGTTTAGTCGTGTCCAACTCTTCGTGACCCCCTGGACCAGAGCACGCCAGGCACTCCTGTCTTCCACTGCCTCCCGCAGTTTGGTCAAACTCATGCTGGTAGCTTCGAGAACACTGTCCAACCATCTCGTCCTCTGTCGTCCCCTTCTCCTTGTGCCCTCCATCTTTCCCAACGTCAGGGTCTTTTCCAGGGAGTCTTCTCTTCTCATGAGGTGGCCAAAGTCTTGGAGCCTCAGCTTCATGATCTGTCCTCAGTAGCACGTTGGACGCCTTCCCACCTGAGGGGCTCATAACTTTTATATGCCTGTTGTCTTTGTCCATGGAGTTTTCTTGGCAGGGATACTGGAGTGGCTTGCCGGTTCCTCCTCCAGGTGGATCACGTTGGGTCAAAACTCTCCACTATGACCTGTCCATCCTGGGTGGCCCTGCTCGGCACAGTTCATAGCTTCTCTGAGTTATTCAAGCCCCTTCACCACAGCAAGGCAGTGATCCATGAAGGGGACATACCAAATTATCAATCCAAATAATCAATTACATTATTTTTCCCACTCCCCCCCATCTATCCCTCTACCCTCCACCAAGCACTTCCCTCAGTTCCCCTCTCTGATTTCTTCGTACATATTCTTCTCTGCATGTTATTAATTGTACATATCCTTGCCTTATCTGTCATGTGTTCAACTAATAAATTTGTGGATGTTTATTCAAAACCTGCCAAGGAGTCCAGGTCATTTTGTTGTCTTTTTAAATAATTTGTAAAAAGCTCCCATTCTTCCTTGAAGTCACAATTGTCCTTGTCATGCAGTTTATATATGTCCATTTAGCCAGTTCCGCATAGCTCACCAGTTTTTCTTGCCACTGTTCTTTCGTTGGGGTTTCCTCATTCTTCCATCCTTGCATACTATATACATCTTTAAAGCAAATTTGAAGCACATTACTTCCCTCAAAGAATTCTGTGCACTGTAGTTTGTAGAGAAGGCTGTTGAGAAGGATAATTTGGTGAGAGTTGTGGCTCTGCTGTGTTTTTGAACAGAGGGCAGGTAAGGATGGTTCACTGATTTGTAGGGCTGAACTTAGATCGTATTGTAGTTCACCATCTGCAATACGTTGCCTGAGTATTGCAGCCCATTCATGTCCTGGAAAGTCAGCTGTTATTCCCGCACTGCATAGCTCACAGAACTGTAGAGTTGGGACCCTTAGAGTCATCTAGTCCAGCCTCCTGCAATGCAGGGATCTTAACTAACAAAACAACAACAAACAAACCTATGGTCACGTAAAGCATACTCAATAAACACACGAGACGCAACCGGCTGTGTTCTTAGATAAATAAGGTATACTATTCATGCATCAAATCATAAATTTCAATGGAAGTAACTCATAAAGTTCAACAAACGAACAAAGCAGAAGATCCAGTGGATCAGATCATTCTCTAATCAGTTCATGCATAAGGTCCATCTGTATAATAATGTCTATTCCACCTGTCTGTTCATAAGGTCCAAACAATCCACATGAAAGGTTGTTACAGTTCCACAGAATCCTTTCACAGAGTCTGATTTCCGGAATATTGGCCTTGTTTCGCCATCCTGGGCTTCATGTGTTACATGGATGGACTTTATACATAAACTGATTAGAGAATGATCTGATACACTGGGTCTTCTGCTTTGTTTGTTTGTTGAACTTTATGAGTTACTTCTGTTGAAATTTATGATTTGATACATGAATAGAATACCTTATTTATCTAAGAACACACCCGGTTACACAGTCTCGTGTGTTTATTTAATATGGAATCTCAACTAAAGCATCAATGACAGATGGCCATCCAACCTCTGCTAAAAAACCGGTGGGAGTCCGTTCCACGGTTGAACAGCTCTTTCCATCACAAAGTTCTTCCTGGTGTTTAATCAGAATTTTCTTGTCACTTGTCTCCTTTTTTCCAGGCTAAACAGGCCCAACTCCCTCAACCGTTCCTCATAAGGCTCGGCTTACAGACTCTCGGCCATCTTGGTCGCCCTTCTCTGCACACCTTCCAGCTTGTCACCTTTGCAAGTTGTGGTGGCCAGAACTGGACACGGAACTCCAGCTGTGGTCTGAATTCCCTTGATCTGGACACAATGCTTCTGTTGATGCAGCCTAGAATAACATTTGGGGTTTTTTTGTTGCTGCATCATATCATTGGCTCATATTAAACTAAGGGATTATTTCATCCTATTGTGTCCCCTTCTAATTCCACAATTCTAGCACCAACAAAAGAAGAGTGGCAGATGAAAATGATGGACTTTGCAGAATTGGCGAAGCTGGCAGGAAACCAGCATGATCAAGTATTCCAAAAGGACGAGTAAATTTATACGATATTTGAAAGATCATTGTAAGCAATTGACATCACTAGCAGGGTTCTCTGGTGCTGGAGGAGACTCTTGAGAGTCCCACGGACTGCAAGAAGATCCAACCTCTCCATTCTGAAGGAAATCAGCCCTGAGTGCTCACTGAAGGACAGATCCTGAAGCTGAGGCTCCAAGACTTTGGCCACCTCATGAGAAGAGAAGACTCCCTGGAAAAGACCCTGATGTTGGGAAAGATGGAGGGCCCAAGGAGAAGGGGAGGACAGAGGACGAGATGGTTGGACAGTGTTCTCGAAGCGACCAGCATGAGTTTGACCAAACTGCGGGAGGCAGTGGAAGACAGGAGTGCCTAGCATGCTCTGGTCCAGGGGATCATGAAGAGTTGGACACGACTAAACGACAACATTATTATTATTATTATTATTATTATTATTATTATTATTATTATTACGGATCGTGAAGCTGAGGCTCCAAGACGTGCTCTGGTCCAGGGGGTCACGAAGAGGCGGACACGACTAAACGACTAAACAACAACAACAACAACATATCTGGCACTACTAGACAGCTAGGAAGCCCACACTCTGCAGACACAACAAGAGACATCACTCAGAGGAAATCCATTCCACATGTGCTACTGCTGTTCCAGAAGATGCAGCTTCACTGACTGTAGTTTAGATCGACTGCAGCTGTCTTTCTTATCGTAAGACTAAACAACTAAACAACAACAACAACAGGGTTCTCTGAAGACTTGTAATAATTTTTCTCCCTTTCTATATTTATTTAAATTTTGAGGTATTTTGTAATAGGTTTGTTTAGAATTGGAAAACATACAAAATGCAACAATATAAAGGTTAATTTTGAAAGCCATGAGGCGGGAGGGAAGGAAGAGTCGAGGGGCTCTAAAGAGCCACAGAGATATAATGGATAAAAATGATGTGATTGTTTATGAATAAATGGAAAAGTAATAAAAATTATTTGATTAAAATAATAAAAAAATAATTTCAGAATTCTATGAAATATATTATTGCAGCCTGGAAAAATATCTCATATTTTTTGGGAGAGGCAGAAGCTTAATCCCACCCTTTAAGTACCATCCCTTTTCACCGGAAGTGACGTCTCCACCGCAGCTTCCCTCCCGCCTCCGCCTCCACCGGGCCGCGAACAAAAGGGATTTTCAAGCGCGCCCTGGCCCCGCCCACCCTTCGCTCTTGCCCCGCCCCCGCGGCCTCTGATTGGCCGGACGGCCCCTCCGCCCCGCTCCGCTCCCGCCCTCCGCCCCGCCCTCCCGCCAGCCGATTGGCCGAGCTCCCTCGCCGGCCGGGGCTGCGGTTGGCGGCGGGGCGCGCCAATCCCGGGTCCGCCTGAGGAGGCTGGAGGGATGGCGAGTGGGGCCGAGCGGGGACACACCGGCTGAGGCGGCTGAGGCGGCGGCGAGGAGGGCGGCCCGGGCCGAGGCGGCGGGCTGAGGGGGCCGCCGGAGAGGTGGGTGGCGGGGAGCGGGGCGTCGCCGGGGCCCCCGCCGCGTGAGGGGAAGGCGCGTCGTCCGTGAGGGGGAGGCCCGCCACCGGCGAGGGGGGGGGAGCAGGGGGTCCCGCCATTGTCCCGGCCGAGAGGGGTCCGGCTCCTGCTTGGTGAGGAGGAGGAAGGAGCGGCTCCGCCTCTGAGGGGATTTCAGGGGAGCCGGTGGTGGAGGGCGGCCCCCGGGGGGGGGGGTTCGGTCAAGGGGTTGGTTGGCCGGTAGGAGCCAGAGGGAAGAAGCAGGGCCCTCAATCTCAGGGTGGCGGGTTCAACCCCCCCCTGCATTGCGGGGGGTTGGGCTGGCCCAGTGATGGCCCAACTCGGCCCTCCAGCTGTTTTGGGACCACAGCTCCCATCATCATCACTGGTCCTGTTAGCATCAGAAGGCAGACCTGTTTAGGGAAGCTTTTAATGTTTAACAGACCACTGCATTATAATAGAGTGGTACCTCGGGTTACATACGCTTCAGGTTACAGACGCTTCGGGTTACAGACTCCGCTAACCCAGAAATAGTACCTCAGGTTAAGAACTTTGCTTCAGGATGAGAACAGAAATCGTGCAGTGGCAGTGCAGCGGCAGAAGGAGGCTCCATTAGCTAAAGTGGTGCTTCAGGTTAAGAACAGTTTCAGGTTAAGTACGGACCTCCAGAACGAATTAAGTACTTAACCCGAGGTACCACTGTACTGTGTTGGAAGCTGCCCAGAGTGGCTGGGGAAACCCAGCCAGATGGGCAGGGTATAAATAATAATAATAGTACTAGTAATATTAATAATGGGACACGGGTGGCGCTGTGGGTTCAACCACAGAGTTGAAGTCATTGATACCTTAAGGATAAATGAGCACTTTAAATTGTAAAATAAAAAAATTAATAAAAATTATATATATACACACACACACACATATACACAGGGGACGCGGGTGGCACTGTGGTCTAAAGCATAGAGCCTAGGACTTGCCGATCAGAAGGTTGGCAGTTCAAATCCCCGTGACGGGGTGAGCTCCCGTTGCTCAGTCCCTGCTCCTGCCAACCTAGCAGTTTGAAAGCACGTCAAAGTGCAATTAGATAAATAGGTACCGCTCCGGCGGGAAGGTAAACGGTGTTTCCGTGCGCTGCTCTGGTTGGCCAGAAGCGGCTTAGTCCTGCTGGCCACATGACCCGGAAGTTGCACGCCGGCTCCCTTGGCCAATAAAGCGAGATGAGCACCCCAACCCCAGAGTCGGTCACAACTGGACCTAATGGTCAGGGGTCCCTTTACCTTTTAACTAATAGTAGTAATAATTATTGGAGTTGTAGTCCCAAAACAGCTGGAGGGCCAGGTTTGACCATCACTGGGCTAGAATGAATCTCGGCGCCCCATCCAGCTTTGCAGTTCTAGGATGGACTGTGCGGTGAGGATCACTTCTTCTTCTTTGGTCCTCATAGCCAAGTAAGATTGTCTTCCATGAACACAGTTTTAACAGTGAGTCCATAAGGGACTGTGGAGGCCAGTTCTGGATCCACACCTCCTTCCACAGTGGGGACATGGGTTTCTGGATCGGAGTTGATCACGGTGATGGTTTGCCAAGCGTGCCTTCCTCAATGTCCAAAAAAACAAAGTGCTGCATCAACAGGTACTAAATAACCCCTCTGCAGCGCCACAAATCCAACTCAATGGTGTAACATTGGAAAATGTCCATCACTTCTCCTACCTGGGCAGTTATCTTTCCACAAGGGCAGACACTGATGCCGAAATCCAGCATCGCCTGAGCTCTGCCAGCATGGCTTTCTCCTGTTTGAAGTGCAAGAGTGTTTGAGGACTGTGACATTCGCAGGGAAACCAAAATGCTTGTTTGCAAAGCTATTGTACTACCAACCTTACTGTATGCTTGTGAAACATGGACCACTTGTAAACGCCATCTCCAGCTCCTTCTGTGGAGCAGGAGTGGCGGCTAAATTTAGCCCCTGGCAGATGTCGGATGGGGGGAGGGGTGGGTGGTTTTTTTTCTTGTTTCTGTGTTTGCATCTTGTGTTTTTATGCCCCATGATATTCAGATGAAGGGCGGTATACCAATTTAATAAGTAATAATGGCTGTCCAACACCTGCTTAAAGCGTCCCAGGAAGGAGAGGGCTGGGAGGAAGGAGGGCAGTGTTTAGACTTTAGAGGCTCCAGGAGATGGAGCTCGGTGTGTGGAGCTTTAGGGTGGTTTTTATTTTATTTATTTAAAAACAGAAGCAACCCCCACAAACACATATCAAAGGCCATGGCTAGCAGGACCAGTGGCCAAGGATGTTGGGAGTTGTACTCCAGTAACATCTGGGGACCCAAGGTTGGGAAAGGCTACTTTAGGGTATTGGGGAGCCAGTGGTAGAGTAGTGGTTAGAGTGGTGGGCTACTAGGACCTGGGAGAGACCTGGGTTCAGATCCCAGAACTCTCACTGGATGACTTTGGGCCATTCCCTGCGTCTCGGCTTAACCCACTTCACAGGGGCATTGGTGGGAATTAATCAAGGAGTGGGCTCCTTGGCAGTGGGGCGGGGAGGTAAGCTATCAATGCAATGTGTCATCTTTTGGGTCTAAGACCTCTTTCTGCTTCAGGGATTGGATGTTATCTATTGCATTATAGAAGTGTAGTGGTTAGAGCAGCGGTTCAGATTATTCTACACCTGAGCAAGTTTTTAAAGCATGTCTGGAATGGGAGAAAGTATATTTAGGTTGTCATAGGTGATAAATTGAGATGTTGGTATCATAGCAATGAAGGGAGCAGTGAGTGGTGAAAAGTGCTGGTGCTGTGATTGTTGGTTAATTTTGGCCCCAAAGGTGGGGGTTTGGGGTGGGAGCAGTGGGTCAAATCAACTTGGTATTATTTAAAGCAGGGTTTCCCAAACTTGGGTCTCCAACTGTTTTTGGACTACCATTCCCATCATTGCTGACCACTGGTCCTGCTAGCTAGGGATGATGGGAGTTGTAGTCCAACAACAGCAGGAGACCCAAGTCTGGGAAATACTGATTTAGAGGGTTGATGATATATGAAGTGTGTTGTACATACTTTGTGAAGTGGCTAGGTATGGAATGTTTTAGATCTGCCCGAGAGCAATTTGGTAAGGAAAAAACAAGGGAGTACTTATTTTTTAATGGGTACTGTGACAGTGTTAGACAGGACTTCTTTCCATCAAAGCAAATTGAACCTTGGAAAAACAAGTGGCTAAATGTAATTTGGGCATTATTTAAACTGACTGTTTTGGGCTACTGAACCTTATGCACTACACGTCAAACGCCCTTCATGACTCGGTGAGGGATGCTGTCAGTTGCTTTGTTTTGATGCGCTCTCAGTTAATATTATACTGTTCTTAACTTGTCACCTGCATTGTGTGACATGCAAACAGTAACACACTGTTGCAAAATGCCAAAACCATGATTATTGCTCTGTGTTTACATGATAAATATGTGTGACTGATATGCTGATAGCTAGTGAAAGGGAGTTTCTTACAAATATTAGATATCAAACATGAAAATAATATTTTAGTGGGTAGCATAAAGGATTTCTTCCTGTTCATTTTTTAAAGAATACCTAAGTAATGACAGTACTATTTCTAGTAATTAAAAAATGTTTCCCAGTGGTTTCAAATTAAGTTATGATCAGTTTTCTCAAGATTGCCTCTTGCTGTAACTAACTTTGCTTTGCAAGTATCTCTGCTTCTTTGGAAGTTAGTAGGAAGTTTTTCTTGTTGCAGCTATACTGAATTTCTGTGTTTGCTGAAGGCGTGCTTAGCGGTTGTAGTAGCACTGACAACATAGGTCAGCAGTTGCTATAATGTTTACTCTGTGGTTATTGGAGGCATCTGGTCCTGGAAGACTTATAGACAAGGAATAAAGCAAACACACCAAATTAGCTGTGGGTTCTAGCTTTTCCATGAATTAAGATGTTAATGTAACATCCTGCAATATTTCTAATGCTTACTACTTGAAGTAAATTAATTTGGATTGCCAGGAAACCAGGATCAGGATTCTGATTTTAAAACCTGTAATTCAGGAATAAGCCAATGTGGTACCCTTTAGATGTTTCGAGCTACAACTATCACTAATCCCCGCAGCATGGCCTATACATCAGTAGGGCAAACTGCTGGCCACCCTTGATGTAATTCATATACAGTCTAACTAACAGTCTTGTATGTAATTCCCTTTGACTATAAAAATACTGATATGGTCTTTGAAAGTAAAGGTAAAGGGACCCCTGACCATTAGGTCCAGTCGTGACCGACTCTGGGGTTGCGGCGCTCATCTCGCTTTATTGGCTGAGGGAGCCAGCATACAGCTTCCGGGTCATGTGGCCAGCATGACTAAGCCGCTTCTGGCGAACCAGAGGAGCCCACGGAAACGCCGTTTTACCTTCCCACCAGAGCAGTTCCTATTTATCTACTTGCACTTTGACGTGCTTTCAAACTGCTAGGTTGGCAGGAGCAGGGACCAAGCAACAGGAGCTCACCCCGCTGCAGGGATTCAAACCCCCGACCTTCTGATCGGCAAGTCCTAGGCTCTGTGGTTTAACCCACAGTGCCTTTATTTATATACTTTTTTTTTGCATAGGACAGTTGTGTCACACACACACAAATGGCTATTGTGCTTTTAATCTTTATCACAGAAAAGTAATTCTAGAAATGTTACATTAACTTTATTTTGGTCACATGCTGCACTGCACAAATGCCAGTGACTTCAAAGGAAGGAATGGAGAGGAACCAGATGTCTAATATGGCCATCCTAAACTTTTAAGGCAGCAAAAAGTGATCTGGATTATACTAGGAATTATCATTCCTGAGATCCCATAATGCAGGAGATAGTGCCCCTCTAGATAAGCGTGCACATTTCTGTATGTGTTTTCCAGCTTTCTTGTTCTTTTGCTGCTGTCTCCAGCTGGCTTACCTCACACTGACTGAGATGGGAATTTCTAAAAGGAACATTGTCTGCCTCTTCTAGAAACATGGTTG